TTCTGTCGTGTTGGCCTGATCACCTGAAGGTTGTGGCACAGTCACAGGAGGCTGCAGAGGAGGAGAAGCCACCGTAATATTACGGAAAGCGTTAGAGTATGGATACAAATCCCACCGGAAGAAGCAGCTGGGACGCAAAACAACGCCTCCTATATTCTGACCACAGCACCCCTGGTAGTCAACTGCGCTTCGTCGCAGACAATTTTCACAATCAGCAGAGGAAAGATCCGGCGTGCATTGCATCAATGCATATATATTCCTGTCAGGTGTGAGAGCCGCTGAATCAGCTACGTAATGGTTGTTACTAGACGATGGCGTGGCTTTAGCTGTGGAGGCTGCATCAATCATACGACCCAATAATCCCTCCCATATTGTCGTGAACTCTGTTTGATTTGAGGTTATATCTCCAGTGTTGTAGAGCAATACACGCGGATCCAGATCAGCAGATCCTGAGAAAGAAGTGTTTGAGTAGCGCACAAGGCAAAGCGTGGCGTCACCTGGCCATGTATACGCGTTCGTTTGGTTAGGACAGCTCTGTATTAAACCATCAGACGCGATCCTGATACATTCGGAACAAATTTCTCGAGTTGTTCCTGGGATGCACATCCCTGTTGCGTAGACACGGTTCGGTTCTTGTCCGATGGAGCCGTTGTAGAAGAAGCCGTCGTGAGTCGTGACGTTTGAAGGAAGATAAGAGAGGATGAGACGGCGATTTGCGTCGTATGTACCGTTTGGCCTGAAATTCCCATTGTCGTCCGTGCATGTTTGTGCTGAAACTTGAGCAACACGAAATCTTATTATGAGGAGAAAACAGAGGATTGATAACAAACTCCTGTGCTTCATTGTTCCTTTTCCAAAATATTTGTCTTTAGTATTTATTCATCTCTCTTGTTCGTACACAGTTTTAAACAGCAAACCAAATATCTCTCTGAAATTTGTAATGTTGAAGTTGTCAAACTGATAACAACGGTCCATAAACCTTGCACATAAATATACGGTCATAAAAGCGATTCACAAGTCAAAAGTCTATAGTTTTTCTTTGTTCGAACAGTATATTAACGTTGAATTTTCAAATGTGGGATCAGAAAAATCCAGTTTTTCCAACCGACAGCATTCGAATCTCTAGCTCACAATCCAGTTTTTCCACTTTTGTTTTTTGGCTCTTCATAGGGAGAATTAGCAAGATTGTTGAAAAATTCGAATGATACTTATATCGTTTTTAACAAATAGAAACGTGAACTTTCTCTTAACCAAAATTTAGAAAGAAATGTAATGCATAGCCATGAGTGTCTTGTCGCTTTGATGGCGCACTTGACTTCACTCATCAGGTTGCCAACGCCAGTGAGGATGACGTTTAACACATGGGACCTATCTACATTGAATTTTTCAAAAGAAAACCGAGCCAATTCTTTGCGAGATTGTATTCGGATCTGCAAATACTATTTGAAAATGAAAAGTCAAAGTGGTACCAAGATGAACAAGTTTCCAAGAAGCAGGTAGTGGATGATTCTAAGCAAATAGACGAGATGTGATGTGAAGGAATATCCACACATTTGTTTCAAGAGGAGAGAGCTCAAATGATTTCGAATAAGGAAAGTATGACAATTTGACTGGATGAAGCATGAAACAGAGAGATAAAGCAACAAAATCATCTATTGTAAGTCGATAACAAGCAGATTTATTTACATATTTCTTGGATGTTCTTCTGGTTATATTTAAATAAGATCAAAGAAGAGAAATTAATCTATGTTATACTAGAAACAGAACTCACATGAATATTCAGGATTTAAAGTCACACAAAATAAAGAAAAAATGCTGTAGAAGAATCACTCAAAACTTACATACACAGAACACTTCGATCTTCAACGAGGCGTTAAATCAGTAATCGACACGTCATTAACAGAACAAGGAACAGATCTTCCTGTGGACTGACTTGAATCTAATTTCACCACTTGCCTGCTTCCTAGGAAAAAACCTGGTAGGCAAGGCAATGGTAGAGTGCTTGTGTTACTACCAAGCATCAAGATGATAGTTGATAACATTGGACGGTCTTCTGGATTTTCTTGAATACATAAGAGCGCGATATGGATGCATCGAGCGACTTCATTACTCTGATAGTTAGTTCTAATGGCTGGATCCACTAGCTCTAATGGCGACTCTTTTCTCCAGAGCCTCCAAGCCTAACACATTGAAGAAATCAAGAATCTTGGTCATATGTTTAAAGATGTTAAGTTTTTGAAAGTTGAGGTCTTAATGCTCACATAAGTGACCAAGTTTCCAGCAGTACTAGTTTCATCCATCTGGTAGACGCCACTGTTTTTCTTGCCGCTTATAATCTCGAGAATTAAGACTCCAAAGCTGTAAATGTCTGATTTCATGGAGTATTGACCATGCATTGCATACTCAGGAGACATGTAAGCACTGCAGCAAAACGTACAACTCAGGTTAAATTGACACAACGAAAAGGTTCGACAAACTTTGGTTTTGTTGGCCATTAGAAGCATAACTTACTAGGTTCCTGCAATCCTATTAGTGCTGCCTCGAGTTTGCTCCATCCCAAAGATCGTTGCCAATCCAAAATCTGAAATTTTCGGATTCATATCCGCATCTAAGAGAATGTTACTGGCTTTCAGGTCACGGTGTATGATCGTGAGCCGTGAATCTTGGTGAAGATAAAGAACTCCTCGAGAAATTCCACCGATGATTTTGTGCCGTGTTTTCCAGTCCATCTGATCACGTATTGAAGGGTCTGCACATAAAATCTCTAACTATTAGTTCTTGACGAAACTAGAACTCTCGAAGCATATGTAGTGAGTGACTGACCAAAAAGGAAGTAATCGAGGCTTTTGTTAGGCACAAACTCATAGCCAAGTATCTTTTCATCTCCTTCCACACAGAATCCAAGAAGCCTAACCAGATTTTTATGCTGAAGCTTTGCCACAAGAACAGCCTCATTCTTGAACTCTCTTGCACCTTGTCCTGATTCTTTTGAAAGCCTCTTAGTTGCAACTTCTGTCCCGTTAATAACAGCCTACATTGTTCATACAAAGAATTCATCCCACTGTCTGGATCCCTTTCTTACAGAAACTAGAAATATAATCATACCTTGAAAACATCTCCAAATCCACCTCGACCAATTATGTTACTCTCTGAAAATTTATTTGTGGCCGCTTCAATCGCTTTGAAATCGAATTGCAGTGCGTGTGTAACAGTGATATCAGTACCTGATCCTGAAACACGGAATCATAGAGTATAACTTACGTTTTCTCTCCTACTCCACAAAACAATGGTTACAAAATAATTTTTTCTTGGTAGATAAAACAAGAACAACAACTCACCTTGGGGACCTAACACTCTGTATGACTTTCTCCTCCTATAAACAAAACATCCTAGCCCAAGCAGTAACAAGAAGATAATAATAACAATGGTAATAACAATTGCCACGACGATTCCTGTTGAGATTGTTCTGCTACCTGCACAAGCTCGAATATAAGGCATTTTAGATTACAGTAGACAAGTACTCATAGTTTTGTTATTGGAAGACTTACCTTTCTTGGTCATGTTATCTACTGGAGGTGCCAACGTAATGCCACTAAAAGCCTCAGAGAAAGGAAACAACTCCCACCGGAAAACACAGCTGGCCCGGTACACGATGCCACCTTGCTTCCCATGGCAGCATGATTCATAGTTACCAACACTCTGTCTTAAACAGATACCACAATCCTCCAGAGACAAGTCCGGAGTGCATTGCATCAACGCATATATAATCTGGAAAGACGTTAAGGCTGCTATGTCAGCTGCGTAGTACTTGCTTTTAGACGATGGTGAAGTAGCACTGTCTATCATACGACCAGCTAACTCTTCCCACACTTGATCAAACTCTGTTAGATTGGATCTGATATCTGCCTGATTGTGGATGTAAAAATGTGGCTCTGTCTTGAGTGATCCGAAGAACGAGCTATTTGAGTACCGTACCATACAGAGAATCCGTTCTTCAGGCCAGGCGAGACCTTCTGTCTGGTTCGGACATTTCTCTAACGTTGCTTTAGAAGCAAGGTTGATACAGTTGGAGCAAACCTCTGGCTCAGCACCTTGGATGCACATCCCAAGAGCGTATACTTGATCAGTTCCTTCGCCAATCGAAGTGTTGAAGAAGCCGCCTCGAGCTGAAACATTGGAAGGAAGAGAAGAGAGGAGAAGGCCTCGGTTTGTGTCATACCTATCCTGTGGTGTAAAAAACCCATTTCTCCCACATTCTTGTGCAGAGACAAAAACAAAGCCTACAAGAACAAACAAGAAGATTGGGAAGAGATTCTTCCATTCCATTTTTAAGACCATGCAAATGTTATTTGGGTTTGAAGGATCACCAGCAAGTATGAGTAAATATATTTATACATACATATACACACCTTTCTCTTTTTAAACATGTCCATGTCAAAAAACTTTGTTGCTGCAAGTTTTATACTGTATGTGGACCACCAATAAACCCAATAAATGTCTCCTATGTTGACTCATTCAGAACTTCGATTGAGTCAAGCGTAGTAAACAAGCTGGTTTGGTACATATAGGAAAATTGTTGCAACTCTATGAATTATGGGACACGAAAAGAAGAAGACGTCATAGAATCTTATTCGTAGAAACTATACACATTTTGAGCCAATTGGAGAAGGGTTCACGAGGAAAAAATGCAAAAAACATTCAGACAAAACATAAATCGGTCAGTTTCTTACCAGCTTAAACAGCAAATCGAAGTTTTCTCTCCGGAACTTTCTAATGCTGAATTCGTCAAACTGATGTGCTTAAACCTGCTAATACGGTCATAGAAACAAATGTCAAAAGTCAAAACTTAAAAGCCAAAAGTTAATCATCTTTTCTTTGTTCACAATATATTATTTGATGCTGAATTTCAAATGTGGACTCGGAAAATAACATAAAGAAAGAATTCCATAGAACCAGAGGGACAAAAAGAGTAATGAGCTACTGTGTCAGTGTCGTTGGTTTCACCAACAAACCAGTTTTGGTTATACATACCATCATCCTACGAGGAACATCAGGCCAATACAGTTAGAGCAAACCTCCATCAGGATTGGCCAAATAAAGCATCAGTTAATAGCTCTGTTTAAGGGTTTATGACACCGGTCTCTCTTTAATATACTCAACAAAAGCGTAGTGGCACGCACAGTAACTTAGATGCATTTTCAAGTCACACAATATAGGAAGATACAGTACAAACATTACTTCAATGAACATTCAAGAGTTCAAGTCACAGTCTAAACAAGAAAACACCGTAGAAGCATCACTCAAACTTTGCACACATAGAAGAAATACTTTCAACTTCAACGAGGCTCTAAATCAGTAATCGACACGTCATTAACAGAATAAGGAATCGACCTTCCTGTAGATTGACTCCTCTCGGCTACAAAGTCTTGATCAAGTATACTCTGGAAGAAAAATCCAGGTTGTCGAGGCACCGGTAGAGTAATTGTGTCACTAGTGAGCATCAAGATGATTGAAGCCAATGTCGGACGATCTGCAGGATCTTGTTGAACACATAACAACGCAATATGGATGCATCTTGTTGCTTCATTGCTATGATAGTTCTCTCCAATGGCTGGATCCACAAGCTCTAATGGTGAACCCTCTCTCCAAAGCCTCCAGGCCTAACATAATAACCACAAAATCCATTACTTCTCACAATCCTCACAGTTTTGTAAGAAATGTTTTGAGATTTGGTTTTTAGTACTCACATAAGTGACCAAGTTGCAAGCATTGCCGTCCGTTTGGTCCATGCTACTGTTTCTCTTGCCGGTTATAATCTCAAGAATTAAGACTCCAAAGCTGTA